TTTGAAATAATAAACACGCTGTGTTCATTTACATTTTCTAATAAATACGGATGTATCCACATCCTCTTCCGCTTTTTTCTTCTATTTATTGCGGCGCAAAGTAGAACCGTAGCAATTCTTCGTCCGACAATGACGACATCTTCTATGCATCTATGCGATTGCTACCTTGATGTGAACATGTCTGCATCTTTTTTGTCACGTTACATGCTGCTAGCTACGTATCGTGCTACGCTACGCAGTATGTTACTTCGGTGTGAAATCTGGCTAAGACTTTGTTTTCCATTCTGAATATTCCCCTCTTTTACCATATATTTCGGTATAACATCACTCCGCCATTCTTCCTATAGCATATCTTTTAATTCTCCCGTGTACTTCGAATGTTATAATTACGTCTTCCTCTCTTATCATTTCACTGCATCGTTCATTTACCTTGATATTCATATTTATTCCATTACATTCCCTCATATCTGTTTATTTATTACCTATAACCACGTCCTTCAGAAGGTTTTCTCGCTTTTCGTCGTATCTATTTTTTTTTTACTTATTACTAACTACTCTTCTTCTTGTTTCTGCTACCATTTTCCCTCATTTAGTCTCTCTCCGTATTATATGATAAACACTTAAGTTGCACTTTTACGTTTACTTAATATCATGAGTGACTTCTTTTGATTCCTGATTGAGTCCTTTAATTTTCATTAAAAGAAACGTCGACTAGTGACTTTATTTTGATACAAACAAACTTAAATTAAACTTATAAACTAAAGATAAAAGTACCTACATAAATCAAGTTTCGTTGTGCGGTCAAAACAATGAATAGTGATTGTATTCCTGCGCTGGCGAATCCTAACCTTCTGGTGCCCCCGTCGACGAAGTTACTGTGGACATATTATTAACGAAGGATCTCTTGATTTTGCAATATTCATTTTTGTAACTGCGACTCTATTCAGTGCGGAGCCTGCAACACTTTAATGACGAGTGACGCTACTCAGGCCCCTCGTTTCCATTAGGCATTCTGGGCAAGTGCCTAGGGCCCCGCAATCGACGGGGGCTTTCTAGTTTCTGCCAGATCCATCGACCAACCGAAAAACAAAATTTATTACCTATAAATATATGTATTTATTTTGAGGAAATGAACCATTTATTACAAAACAAAATTGAAAACACATTTCCAAATGTAAAAAGTGCTTTGAGAATCTTTTTAAGCATGTTGAAAAGTAATGGCGTTGAGGAGCACAGTTTCTCCAAATAAATAATTAATTAAGAAGTACAACGCTTCAAGAAAGATTGGCCAGTATGTCGCTAATGTCCAGAGAATGTGATCTGCTCAAAGACAGACAACAACTGATTGACGATTTTACTTTTATCAAAATTTTTCAATAAACATAGAATTTTAAGTACTGACTTATGAAAGCTAAAGGAGTAACTGTTCTGAGTTAGAGTAACTGTTCTGAGTTATATTGCAGTTATCTATTCATTTATTGTGATTGGAAAAAACAAAATTAATTGTTCAATAAATTTAGAATTTTGTATATCTAATAGTTTTTTTGGGGCCCCGTTATCCTTATGTGCCTAGGGCCTCCAGTGGGTTAAAGACGGTCCTGACGCTACCCTTCTCCATACCAGGACGTACCTTGGCATAATCAGTGCGGATAGGCGCACACACGCGAAACGATCCTGTATTGACTTTTGTTTCTGCTTATACTAAACAAATTCTTAATACGAGGGTGGATTGATAAGTTTCCGGCCTAACCAAGAGATGACGCCACAAGGCCTACCTTGAGGTGACATTCTATAGTACCATCCTTGGATAGCTTGTAGCTATAGTTTCAGCCCGATCTCCTTGCTAGTGTAGGTTTGACAGCACGNATGAGGTCGCTGGAATAGCTTGCAAAGTGAAAATACCTCCAACGAATAAAATAATGGCAGCATGTTGAAGCATTTCATTTCCATAATGCTCGCGGGAGAAAATGAAAATGCGAGGCCCTTTCCAAATTACATTCGAAGCTTCGAATTAACCCAACAAACACACCAGAAATTGTAATAAAATAAACATTAGTGCATCCGGAACGTCTTTGCTTTTCTGAAGAAAGTTAGGAACATGAACTTTTCCTTATTACTTTAAGCACTTTACAGAAGACTAAATGAAACTTTCGCAGATCAAACCGCATAAGACGGGACCTTTAACATGAAACATACAAATAATCATCTAAGCATGAACTTTACGTTTTTCAACTTTCGGTTTTTAACTTAAATTCTTATTTCGTTCTTTTAAGGCGAAAAGAAAACTACAGCACCTGTTCAGCGATATTAATTGATTACATTTAACAACTATTAGAATAATAGATAATTAAATAGTTAAAAATCCAAAGGATTTAATTTGTTGGAAGGCTTAATCAGTACATAATTAAAACAGTGGTTTTTGTTGTTTAATCCTCTTTTGGTCCCCTTCAGTGCTTTTATCCATGCCGTGAAATTGCTTATTTATGACAAAGATACTGAAAATATTTCATTCGTAATTAGTAGTTATCCGAAAACATTTAATGAGCATTTAATTACACATTGACTAAAATAAGTCTATTTCATTGTTACACATTTTTTCGCTAATGTTCTGGTCAATAATTCTTAAGCTATCAGAACAATAGTTTTTGAAAAAACAACCGGAGCATTTAATTTCTGATTAGGGAGATAAATTAGCATTTCGTTGTCAGTATCTATGCTCTTCATACTTAATGTTATCATCGTACTGACCAAAAAAATTCACCTTGATAAAGTGCTTTCATTAAGGCTGACACATCGCTTGCTATTGGCTTTGATTTTTCGCATTGATATTTGTCCATTGAAAAAAGAAACTCTTATGTGTAAATACAAACTTGATTACAAAAAAAAAAAGAAAATATTTTTTTTGATTTGGACTTTTTTAAAAAATTTTTTAAAAACCTTGTTTTTCTTGGTCAGGCCGGAAACTTATCAATCCACCCTCGTAATGTTAAAATGATTAAAAGTGATTGTTGGTGTTATTCATAAAAAGATATTTTTGTGTAGAATATAGACAATGTTGTACATTTTACTATTACCCTTTTTTGTATTTTTATGATACTAGATACTTATAATTATGCCTCGACACAAAATTGAAAAATTAATGAAAAATTAGATTTTAAATTTTGAACGGTCTGCAGATGATTATATTACAGGGATTTTTCAATAAATAAAACAACAAAACAAATGAAATTTTAAGCTATCATTCAATATAAATGAGGGTTGAGTAGCTTGTCATGAATACATATTCCGTAAAAGAGGATTTTCACCGCTCGTAAGTTACCCTCTTTGCGATTTCCTTCCGTACGGAAACTACTACATGGATTGAATAAATGATGTTAAAAGAAGGCATCTCTTGGCTTGGCTTTGCTATGTATTCCACGAAATAAAACTAAAGCGTGCAAAAGGTTAAAATGTATCTGGGCTGCTACAATGGCTAGGCTAGGAAACTTACTGGTTAAAGAACGAACTCGCTTCGTCAGACATGCACTGAAAGAAATAATGGAGAAAGAAAAAGGACGGATAAAAGAATTACCTCCATTACAACAAAATGTCACTGCAAACTCTAGCATGAACTTTTCATTGTTCTAAAAATTTGTAGATTCAGTTTCTCTAAAAACGGCTCACCTCTTTTAAGTTACTTTTATAAAATATATACCCGCTATTTTTAACTTGAAATTCTTAATAACATAAATATACGAGTACATCATAATAAGAAAAATGTGGCCTTTCTTGAAAATAACTCATCCTAAAGGAAACTTTTATGAATTCATTCCTATTTTAGATAAACGTTTAGATGTATGAATCCTAGGGTAGAAGGTTGTTGACGAAAGGGAGGGGGTTGCCTTTTACTGACAATAACTTTGTTGCAGTTTAATTTTATATTTTATTTGCTGATGTTTAGTATTATTCATAAACATTATATGCAACTCATTTTATTACATTAAAGAAATACTTACAATTTAAATATGCATCATCATCATAAGGTCGTCAGTCCTAAGACTGGTTGGACACGTACCTCCATCTCTTTCCTATCCTGAGTTAAACTTTGCATTTCCCTAAAACCAGAACAGCCCACATCCTTAACTATTTGCGAACAGTAATCTAATCTAATATAGGTCTACCTCTACCCCTCCTGAAATGAAGAAGTTTAATTATTACACATTAGAATTGTTTGTTGCTATACCGAGTGTTTCCACATTGTTAACAAGAAATTCTAAGAAAAAATGTACGTATATATTTGATAAAATAAATTTAAAAAGACAAATATCGCGACGAGCTTTTCTATCATATAAAATGTAAAAAATTGATCGATTTGATTTAATATAATGTTTATTTTTTTTCTTTTAGAACATTAAAATAACTTATTTTTAAAAATTGTCATTTATTTATTTATGTATTTACTATCAGTGTACAGCTGTTGAACAATCAAGTACTTATACATCGTTTGTAAATGACGCAACCGTCATCCTACAGAGGCTTGGCTGAACAATAATACACTTCTCTTTTTACTTTTTTACTCTCCATAATACATCCCCAATCCTGCCTGAATCACTAGTAAAAGAGAATTTCATTTAGCATTAAGCTTTTTTCATTCTCTATAATCCAGCTCTTTTATAATTCATTGTTTGTGAATTCAAGCTTTCGGGTATATTAACGATCAAGTTACCTTGGAACGATAAAACAAAAAACATGCGAGTGTACCAATTTGTCCATTAAAAATATTAAAAGGTCATAACATATTCCATTCACAAAAAATGCTTTTTCGTGTATACATACGATTTATTTTAGGCAGATAAATTTTTTGAGGGGTCCTTTATACCTCTACAGGATGCTAATAATGCAGGAGCTTAAAAAAGGGCAATTATTTCGATACGAATTATTAGAGTCAAACACTTTAGTTCTGTTATTATGTACTTACAGATGTATAGAAGCTACAGGTCATCTCCTCTTCTTTGTTTCAGAGCCAGAAACACAGTCCTTTGGTGTTAGGACTACTACTTCTTGTAATACCGTTTATTCCTGCTACAAATTTGTTAGTAACCGTTGGCTTTGTTGTTGCTGAAAGGGTGCTCTACATACCAAGGTAAATATTTGATGCTTAGTATATTTTTTNCTACATTGTTCGAAATCTTTCCAAAATGGTGAACACCCGTTTAGAATAAAAAAGAATATAAACCCTGGGATGCGAGTTCTTGTTAGCAAATATATATATTAGGGTGCTTCAAACAAAATTTTTAATTTTTTTTTCTAACTCTTACCCCCTCAAATTTCAAAAATGGTTCTCAATACGTAGTGTAGGTGGCACCACACATGATAATAATGAGATAAATGAACTAATCGTATGATTACAATTAATCATGGATTATAATTTTGTTCTATATTTGTTTATATTAATTATCTATTTTTGAAAAAAAAAAATAATTGCAAGCTATTTTTTCAAATTTCAAAATTTAGTAATTTTTAAATGGCTGTAACTAGTCTTTTTGTAAAGATAATCATAGTTTGTCTTAGAGTTTTGTAAAGCTCAAAGACTCAGCTTTAAGAATATGAAACGGTTTTTCGGAAAAAATTGCGTAAATTATGTGTAAATTCAATTTAAAACAAAAAAGAATTTTTCCTATGTTAATTAAATGGGAAACTAAAATAAAAATAGCCACCCCTTAGATTTGAGCTATAGTGCTCATGTTTGGCGAGGATGTTTTTACAACAAATAGAAACATTTGAGGGGGTAAGAGTTAGAAAAAAAAAATAAAGATTTTGTTTGAAGCACCCTAATATATATCTTTATAGGAAGTTAAAGTCAATTAACATTGGAATAATTTACTGAAGATTGAAGAACCTCAATAGAAATCAGTATATTGAATACAGTTGATCTGTACTTGAGGAAAATCCATATCAAAGTAAAAATCTTCAAGATTTTTTTTCAAGATTTTCTCACACTTATTTAAAAAGTAACAATTTTTTCGTCACTGTTGACTTCATCAGACTTCGAGTACTTATTACTAATGTTACAATGTGTTGTAGATGTTTATATGTATACAATGTTACTAGGGGAACAAATTTAAAAGTGAAGAAATGTTACACTCCGTTTGATCGTTTAACAATATACTTAACTTTTGTATAAATTTATTTCCAAATCCTCTAGTAATGTAAGTTTATTTCACTTGGTTTCTAAATATAAAATATCAAATTTATTATTAAATAGATGTTCTTCTTCTGTGACATGATTCAGGTAAGTAGACTTTGTCTTGTTTTTAACGTAACTGTTCTTATGCTCTGTTAATCTTTTGTTGAAATTTCTCCCAATTTATTTTATATAGACCTTTTGGCAAGATCCACCACATATCAACTTATGTATAAACTCCAGACTAATTGAATGAAAAACGTCTTTATTCATATGTTCTTGCCAAGAGGTTCATATAAGACAAACTGGGAAAAATTTCAAAAAAAGATTAACAAAGCATAAAAACAGTTACATTAAAAACAAGACAAATTCTGCCTATGCCAATCACGACACAGAAAAAGAACGTCTGTCTAATAATAAATTTGATATTTTACATTTAGCAACCAAAGGAAGTAATCTTACATTACTAGAGAAACTAGAAATAAATAAATACAAAAAATTAGGTATACTCCTAAACGACCAAACAGAATGTAATAATTCTCCATCTTTAAATTTGATCTGAACTGTCCCTAATAACATTATAAATAAGCACCTACAATACATTGTAACCTTAGAAGTTAGAAGTAAGACCTCAAAGTCTGATGAAAGCAAGAGTGACGAAACAATTGTTAACTTTTAAAAGTATGTGAATATCTTGAAGTTTATTTTTATTTAGAAACTAGTATCTCATAGACAGAACTATGTTTTATTGATGAGTGATAAATAGTTAATTAAGTATGGAAATAAATAATAAATATATTTTTTTAGTAAGTATTGTTGGCTTACACAAAGCAAGCATTGTAGCCGAATTACCTGCTAATATAAGAGAACTATTTCCACCACTTTAATTGCTAAACTGTTTTTTGTTGAGTAAATGCTAATGTTAACTCATATTCGACAAAAAAAAGGTATCAACGTCTTTTTTAAAATTTTTTGAATGTCATGGCAATTAATTCTGTGAGGTTATCACCCCCTCTCCTATTGCAAACAAACAAACAAAAAATATAGAACCAACCACACAGCATTGATTGATAAAAGAAACGGTTTTAGTTTAGTAATACGAGGGTGGATTGATAAGTTTCCGGCCTAACCAAGAGATGACGCCACTAGGCCTACCTTGAGGTGACATTCTATAGTACCATCCTTGGATAGCTTGTAGCTATAGTTTCAGCCCGATCTCCTTGCTAGTGTAGGTTTGACAGCACGCTGAACAAGACGCCTCTGTGGTTTTCGTAAAAATGGAAAAGCAGGAAAATCGTGCTGTCATCAAATACTTTTATTTGAAGGGGTTAACGCCGAAGGAAATTAAAAAAGAGATGGACTCAACACTGGGGACATCCTCCCCGTCATATTCAACCGTTAAGCAGTGGGTTTCCGAGTTTAAAAAGGGTCGTGTGAGCACCTCTGATGGGCCTCGCTCAGGACGCCCCGTTGAGGTCACAACTCCAGATATGATCGAAAAAATTCATCAAATAGTGCTGGGAGACCGCAGATTGAAAGTGCGTGAGATAGCTGAGACCTGTAAGATGTCATATGAACGTGTGCAACATATTTTGCACCAACATTTGCATATGGAAAAGCTCTGTGCAAGATGGGTGCCGCGTTTGCTAACAGTCGACCAAAAATTGATTCGAAAAAACATTTCTACCGCAAATTTGTCATTGTATAAGCGTAATCCAAGCGAATTTTTGCGTCGATTCGTAACCGTTGACGAAACGTGGGTCCACCACTACACTCCTGAAACCAAAGAACAGTCTAAACAGTGGATTGGACCAGGGGAACCAACTCCAAAGAAGGCAAAAACAATTTTTTCGGCGAACAAGGTTATGGCTACTGTTTTTTGGGATGCAAGAGGTATTATATACATTGATTACCTTGCAAAGGGTAATACTATCACTGGTCAATACTACGCAGACTTATTGCAACGTTTGAGCCACGAGGTGAAAATTAAACGACCTCATCTGGCGAAGAAAAAAATCTTGTTTCATCACGATAACGCACCAGCTCACACGTCAATCGTTGCGACGGCTAAAATCAACGATCTAAAGTTTGAATTGATGCCGCACCCTCCTTACTCTCCAGACCTAGCCCCGAGTGACTATTTTCTGTTCCCTAATCTCAAAAAATGGCTTGGCGGTAAGAGATTTGCGGACAATGAAGAAGTAATCGAAGCTGTAAATGGTTATTTTGAGGAGCGTGACGAATCAGTCTATAGAGATGGCATTAATAGACTGGAACACCGCTATGAGAAATGTATCAGCCTTGGAGGAGATTATGTTGAGAAATAAAAAAAAAAAATTTTTAAAAACCTTGTTTTTCTTGGTCAGGCCGGAAACTTATCAATCCACCCTCGTACATCTATTTCGCTCATGAATAAATAAGGAAGTCGATTTTTATAGTTCATTATCTTTTTGGTACATCTAATCTTGTGTTTCTTTACAGTCTGGGTTGTATTCTACTAGTAGTATATGGAATGAAAATATTATGGAATACATACCCTCGCAACCGACCAACCCTCAATGGACTGATTGCCTTTCTCATAGTCATGAGTTCCCTCCGAACGGTTGTTAGAAATAGGGATTGGCGTTCTCGGGAATCGTTACTCAGGTAAGCATGAATAAATGAATTACGTTAATGAGGTGCAAGTTACGAATATCGGCTTGTTCATCCTTTTGTAACTGTAAAGTTTCAAGTGGATAAGTCTCTTTCTTTGTTAATTTGTGCAATTGAAAGCAGAATAGTGAAGTCATAACGTAGGCCAACTAAACGATGAATATTCGAAATACAGAACAGCTGCATCGGATATACTTAGAAACTGAAATTATAGTAACAAAACAAATTTCATCGTATTAAGCTAATCTGCACTTGAGTTAGACTAGACAGAAATATGCATACGAAGGAATTGTTGTAGATTAAAGGAAATCCCATTGAAAATACTGATTGAGACATTTGTTCAAGTACTTCCTTGAATCATCGCTATGCCCGTCGAAAATTTCAAGAGCCCCTAGTTTTGCCGTTTATTTATCAAACGCTATGGAATTTTATAGATAATTTATGCTCAATTAGTATAAAATAAAAACATTGTAGGAGATTCCAAACACCTTTTTGAACAATAGACGAAATTTATGAAAATGCTCTACTATAATTAGTAGTCAGAAATGAGTTTTACCACTCAAACGTTACAGTCCTCGAACATTCTATAACGTTATCGATTCTTCTTAGGTATTCAAAGCATTCTAGTTGAATGACCCTTAAACCCACAAACACCCCAAATCTTGAACATTATAGAACATTCCAAACATATTTAGAAAAATATAGTGTCGGAAGTCATTCCCACCATATACACATAATGGTTCTGGTATACTATTCCAAAACCTTCTCGATTGTTCCAGACAAATCCACTCTAGAACATTCTACCTCAGGATAATTCTCGACATTCGGCAACATTCTAGCTAACGATCATGCGTTCATGAACATTTTAGTACATTTTCGCATATTCTAAATGACCCACTATACTTGGTGGCTGGGGGTCGACCCTCAAACCAGTATACCCACCGAACCGGAGAAATTTAAAACATTACGGAAGAAACGTTTGTTATAACACTTTGATCGACCACCATTAAACACCATTTTTCCCACACCACCACATCTGCTGATATGTACCCACCATAGTGCACGATGGGAGACTGGAGGCTATTATTACGCACAAACGCCAGTGGTCTGAGCTGAGTAGTTGTCCCTGTAAAATGACATACACGGACACACATGTCTATTTCATTTATATGTTTGTGTATATGTATGAGTAGTTACTAGTAGAAATAGCTACAATGACAAATTCAAGATAGCGCTCGACTTGCATCTTCGCCTATATTACTTATGCCACTTGGTTTGCTAGCATGTACCAGTGATGATGAGTAAATGTCGCTTTCGAGAGTAAAACAATATGGTAAACGCACTTCATCATCATCATAACGTCGTCAGTCCTAAGACTGGTTGGACACGCACCTCCACTCTCTTCTATCCTGAGCTAATCTTCATATTTCCCTAAAACTAGAGCATCCCACATCCTTATTTGCGAACAGTAATCTAATCTAGGTCTACCTCTAAGACAAGGTGTTCTACCAACCTATCTCGCCTATTTCTTATTGACTTCCATTGAGTCCTCTGTTCTCCTGTTCTTTCTAATACCTCTTCATTCGCCTGTAACACCACTTTTCGAACGCTTCTAACATTTTATATTCGCCGTGTCCACCGTCCACACTACTTAATTAGAAATTACTTGTCGATCATTACAGGTCTAGGTACATACTGTTAAAATATATGCAAAGTGCGTTTTGAAAAGTAAAATACGGTACAATAAAGAAAAAGAAAGAGACAAATAACATAAAAAAGAGAAATTGTCTTTGACCGCCGGAAAGAATTCATATGAAACAACTGCCTCAAAACATGTTTAACGTAGAAATGCACTTTTAAGTCATCATGATTACTTTTTAATTCTTTCTATTATATTATTAATAGATGACGATATTCCCAAATGTTCAGAATAATTATTAAATAATTACCTTAGTCAATACAGATAATAGTATTTATGATAAGAACTTTTTTTGTTTATTTTACTATATTTTGCTTTTGAAAAGGCATTTTAAAAATATTTAAAAATTATGTACGTAACGTAGCTCATAATTGTAATTAAGTATATTAGGTACTATATTGTTTTATTACCAAAAACCAATGTATTTACTTGTCACTGGTAAAGTTTAACATATACATACCAAACTGTAATGCTAAAATCTCTCATTTTACACCAGTCCTTACATTTACTAGCTCATACTGATAAATTCTGAATTCTAAAACGTAACATTTAGCGATATTCAAACTTTTATAGTAACATGTCACCTGTTCGATTGCCTTGGATTAAGTTTCTTGTTATTTCTGTGAATTATTTAAACTCTCACTGGGACAGTAGTTATTCCACATACACTCTTTCTGTCCTCTCCTACTTTCATTTCGTCCACGTCATTTGTTTCTCCGAAACCACCACCACTCATTCCGACAATTGCTTAAGAAAAGCTGAAGATGGTCATCCGCTCCACAGTGTGGTTTTACACCAGACTCTACTCTACATTGTATTCACCTTTAAAAGAGGTAGCGTAAAAACAAATGCAGGTCGTTGACCAGTGATTGAAATCGGAAACTGGGCAAAGTAGGATCAAGAACCTTCCATGTAGGTAGATATTTATACATTTTTGAAAAAAAATATGCTGATTTATGATACAGTAACATGTCCGAAGTCAAGTCTTAAAAGTACCACCCCTACCTATACCACGGAATCCTTTCTTTCTACTGGAAGACTGTACGTCTAAGATACTGCTCGCTCACTAGTATCTCTAGGTAGTGAGAATGAAAGCAAAAGTTTTTTTAGTACTTTTATTACAATAACATGTTAGGCTATTATCCCGCCAGTTTAATTAGTTGTAACGTTTCATATTTCTCCTGAATACTTCAATATCCTGGCTAGAAAACTCGGTTCGTTTTTTTAAGGCCCTTATTAGGCCAATCGTGTTCCATACTCGTTCCGAATGAGGCAGCCTAAGAAGACCACAGTTAGAAAAATAACGCACTTCCTTGTTCGTAACTACCTAGGAGTGTCCGAATTAGGAATCTAATCAGAGCCAAAGTAGGACTTTAATTAGCCCGATTAGAAAATTGTTAATGACTGATGCTTATAAATGTGATTGGGATTTAATGAGAGCCTAAAGAAATTAAAAGAAAGATTAATAGGTTATTACCTATTACCTAATAGGTAATCGTAATTACGTAATATTCCTCTTCGTTATTCTTTTACTACCATTTTTCTCGGAATATATTTGAGAGCCACTTCGCGGTTCAGGATTAACTTTGATCAGCATCTTCTTAACCTGTAAATATATTTATTATGTGTTTGAAATACTAATATATAATAAATGTGTTACCATCTCTTTTTATTAAAATCTGAATCGATTTTTAATTTCTCTTCAAATTCGTCAAAAATATCAATAGTAGAGCATGAAATATCTTTTAATATATCATTAGTTTCCTCTTCTGAAAGGATTATATGTTCGCTCCTTGCAGTATTATTATTACGATCATTTATGTGCTGCAAAAAAACTTCACACTTATATATTTTATTCACTTTGTATTGTCAAGAATTGTAGCAAAATTTATATTATTCATTATGATGATATTGCGTAAAATACATTAAACGGAGAGTATTTTTATCTCTTAATAGAAATCTTCAATGTAATTTACAATTAATTTCTTGCACATAAACCCGGAGAATAATTGCGGTATATTTTATAATTGGCGTTAAAAAATTCAGGAGCACCGAAAGAAGTTTATTAAATATTTTTACTTACTGGCTCTTCCATGAGTTTCAAAAAGGTATCATGACCAATCATCAGCAGGATCATCTTAATTTTCTCATCATATGCGGGTGACATGAAATGACACTTTAATGTTCCAATTTTTTATTCTTGTCGATCCATTTACAACTAATCTTTGTTTTGCATCAAGATTTTTTAGTATTATTCTACTAAATTTTTATTGCAAAAACCACAATTTCACTTAATAAAACTATTTTCCGTTCAAATGGTCACTTTCTCTTTTAATATTCGATGTAAACTGAATCACAACAATAAAAACGAATTTTATTTTATTTTATTTATCATACAAGAGTATATGTATACTTCCACTCATTAGGAATGTGCAATACAAAACCGATCAGTTATTACGTTCTTAGCAACCATGCACGTCATAAAAAAGCTCTGCTTTTGTTTCGCATATAAGTATTAGAATTGTTTACGTTAGTGACAATCTTGTCAAGTTTCATTACCGTTTTATTTACGAAACCAAACCATCACTTATACTTTATTGAACACAGCGGTAATATTTAAGACAAATATATACTGTAAAGTTCGTGGGTTTAACAAAATTAACTTCTGAGACTGGTAACGACAAAAACTATTTATTTACACTAATTATTAAAGAACTGAAAAACACTATTAAATTATTACTAAACTTAGGTTACGAATTATTCCATTTATTTACACTACTGTTGATATATTACTATTCACTGCGCTATTTGTTTCACTGTCAATTTATTTCTGTATTCACTTCTGCAACGGTCAATTTATTTCTTCCCCTTTCGGCAATCGTCTTATCCTTTAAATACTCTTTTGTTTACTTTATGGAACCTTCTGTGTATTTGTGTGCTTGCTCGTGCTCGCTGCATTGCCCCCTCCTTAAGGATGTTTCGTCCCGAAACATTTTCACTTTCCGTTTCGCAGGATCATGCCGGAATCTGCAGTAGAAGTAACAGTCCACGGTCTTCTCATGATTGGTCCGATTCGGGTTACTACTGTAAACCAAAATGCCTATTCCAGTACGGCCGAACAGGACTTCGATCATGTTCCATACAATCCTACAATCTAGGTTGTCCAGTCCTCAACCAAGGTTCGGAATTGCCAGCATCTGTAGGTTATTCTCCAGAAGATGTTCCATTACTGCGTCCAAAAGGTCTCTATCAGAACATCTTCCTTTAGTTACTAGGTGATAGATATTGCGTCGGC